CCTTATATTAAATAGGGGAACTTGTCGGCCAATACATTGGTTTTGCAGACCAAACGGATGTCATAACTTTCTTTAGTTTATTTGATCGAGCTTCACTCTCAATTCTTGTGTTTATCCTTTAGGATAGATACAGGATTTGAGATAAAGTGCTCTTTCATCTAAACTATGAAAATTATGGGGTCAGTTTGACTTCATCTTTTTCAAAATTAAAATTTTAAAAAAAAATGTCCTTCCGAAGCGGGCAACGGGATTTCAATTCCGATGACCGACAGCTTTTTACGGGCAAACCCTACACCAAAAATAGTGTTGACAGTCCTGTTGTTCAAATTTTCACGAGGACATCATTGAAGTAAACCTCCATATTATTTTATTTATGATTTTTAAACGTACATCCATGAAAGGCTGGTATATGGCCCTAACGTTCTTAAGCTAGAAGGGCATTACAATATAGCAAGACTCTCTCTCGATGGTAATGAAGGCAATATTTTCAGTGTCCGACGGGTGCATCTTATTTGGTGATAGCCAAAGAAAGCATCCAGGAAGCTCATCACTGAGTACCCTACGACAGCATCCACCAGAGCGTCCATCCACAACAGTAGATAGCAATCCTTATGAGGCAACATTTAAATTGGTGAAGTCAATACACATTTGCCACTTCTCGTTGACCTTCTAGACTATAACAACATTTGACTGTCAGGTGGGGTATTGGACTGGGTATTGGACCTCTCAGATGTGCCTTGCCTCTTGCAGCTTAGCCAGCATGGTCGCTGAGTTCCTTGCCTTCAGCTTGATGGGTCAGATTGTAGGGCCCGCGTTCTACCTATAACAAGAAATGTCAGCTGATATCCCTGACATCTTCACAACGGACTAGGCGAAAACATCGGGTGATCCCGAAGTGTTTGAATTTGAAGCTCCAGGTGTCTTGTATCAAAACTATCACTTAATAGAAAATATTTACTATCCTCCTCACCGACCAGGATCTTCTGGGTGGCCTCACTGGTCTCAAGTTTGCCCTCCTTTCAGTTCTTTATGTCGGGTAGTTCCTATTCCACATTTCAGAGCACCCGGTGGTAACATACTCAACACTGCTCTAGATCTCCCCTAACAGTGATTATTTCACTATCTCCTGGGAACTTGACTGTGAGGTAGTTGGTAGACACCACGACTCTGAAGCGATTTAACATCGGGAGGAAAAAATGGCGTTGTAGGTTGGGGGAAAATCCACGATCAAGAAATCTTTTGTCTTCGTGTACTGCTTCTCTCCCTCGACCCAGTTGACCGTTAATTGCTTTACACCTAATGGCTCCTTCATTTCACATGAAAACCCAACAACTAGGCCAGGTGGTGCTGCCAACCAGTTGACCCTGAGGCTAAGCTTTTCAAACTCTGACTTGAATAAAATATTCACGGAGCTGTCACTGTCGATGAGGATACTTCCGACTTAAAAATTACTAATAATTCCTGTTGCAACTATAGCCTCATAGTAGGGGTTTCCTCGTTGGAGAAGATCGTCATCCTTGAATGTGATGGGACGACAGCCTCCACTCCTTTACGTGGACGCGAGGTTGCACTTTTCTTCCTTTCTGGTCCCCTTCTGGGAGCGCCTGGAAGAGGCGTTTGTTCTTTCAAAGATGATATCGTCATCCTTGAATGTGATGGGACGACAGCCTCCGCTCCTTTACGTGGACGCGAGGTTGCACTTTTCTCCCTTTCTGGTCCCCTTCTGGGAGCGCCTGGAAGGGGCGTTTGTTCTTTCAAAGATGATTGGGACTATCCCGATGATGTGGACGACTTTTCTCCAGACGGGTCTAATCAGGGCCTACAGTGTTCGCGCCATCTCCTGCAGCTGGTTCTGCTCTTGCGGAGGAACCATATTGGCTACTGCTCTCTAGTCGCTTCTTTCTCTCTGGGAACACTGTGATCATCTTCTTGTTGACAGCAAGAATCTACACTCACTGCAACTTTTATGATGTTAAATCAAAATCTATCTGAGAGACACACTCAAGGAATAGAACACTGAAGGAAGAGAGAGAGAGGGAGAGAGAAGGGGTAAAACAATGGCACAATATTAAACGATAAAATTGTGTAACTTTTATTCATGAAACATACTCCTGATTTTTACGAACAGGTTATTGTACATTTACATAATGTACCCCTAAAATACATAGTTACGGCTGGGGTATCTTAATTCATAAGTAAATTTAGCTTGTGGGGCCCACATATGTGATTGACGGTCCCGACGACTGTTAGGCCGGACAGCTATTAGGCCGGCGACCCTCAAATAGGAAGGTGTTGGGCTCCATCAAATGCGCCAGCTCAGCTGAACACATCAAGAGTGATCCCTTTTTTATGCGTCTGAGGTGTTCCGTCTCCGCCATATGAGGAACTGGTTAGTTGAGTATGCGATCCTGACCTTTACTTGGTAGGCCCCGTGGAGCCGCGTCACCTCTTTCACCATCCGAGAGAAGGCTTTGTGATTCATACTTACATATTTATGATGTACACCAATAATTCAATTTTGAAATTATAGTCATAGTTTGAATTAATTTGATAACTCTGAATTATAGGTGAGAACTATTTCAAAGTAGGTAACAGCCAAAATAGTGGGTAATCGTTGAAGTCTCTCTAAACCTCTCTTCCATTACTTCCAAATGTGTAAATTTTGATATAATATTGAATAATCAATGAGACCTATTCTTAAAAAATCAGCCCTGTAAGATTTTCATGAGGCAACCAATAATACCTCAGTTTCAGAGGGACTCACAAGCATAAATCCCAAAATTAATTTTATAGGTTCACAATAAAGAAAACAAATGGATCAATTCTAACTGATAAATAAATAACAGAAACAACTGCCTACTTCACGAAAAATTATTTCATACGGATACATGTGGTGTGTGGTGTCTGATATTAACCGTCGATCACCGCAAAGATGTATTTCAGTGGATCCCACTTTCAACTTTTTTTATTTTTTATTTTTAAAAAAATTTTGATTGCGATGATCGACGGTGGATATCCGTACAGAATAATTTCTCGTATTTCACACATTCACTTTTTCAACAAATTTTCTAATCAACTTTTGCCGCATTTACATAAACATCACACTAATTTCTTATATATTTATATTTTTAATTTAAAATTTTTAATCTTTATATAAATAATATTTAAATTTTTAACATCATATTAAAAATATCATTACCGTCAAATATTGAAAAAAAAATACATCAGAAATATTAAAAACATAAATATAAAAATTAATATGTTAGATATGTAAATATATTAAACTTCTATGTCATATATATAAACCGGCTATTAGTATTAGTCTTCCTACCTCTACTTCGCCGTCCGGCAGCCAAAATTTCTCAGAAAACCCGCGTCTTTATCATTGACCTCTACTCTTCAGCCTGCTAAATAAACCCTAATCTTCCTTCTTCCCCAATTCTCCATCGATTCTTCTGCCGATCCCCCAAAATTCTTCTGATAAGTGTAATTCTACGGATTGAAAAGGTTTGGGAATTACAGGTTCAAGCAGTTCGAAATGAATAACCTCTTCTCGGGATCCTGGGTTAAGGACCCGGGATCTCCAGGAAGCAGCATCCAGATGACGAGCTCTATTTCAGGCACCATCGGAAGCGCCGCCGCCGCCGGCGGAGCCAACCTGAACAAATTCTTCGAAGACGTGGAATCAATCAAGGATGAACTCAAGGAAATCGAGCGCTGCCACCGCAGCCTCCACGAATCCAACGAGGCGCTGAAAACCCTCCACTCCACAGCCGCAGTCCGCGATATCCGCACCCGGATGGATTCCGATGTTGCTCTAGCACTGAAGAAAGCGAAGTTGATCAAGCTGCGGCTGGAATCCTTAGACCGATCGAACGCGGCGAATCGGTCGGCGCCAGGGTGCGGGCCGGGGACTTCGACGGACCGGACGAGGACGTCGGTCGTGGCTGGGTTGCGGAAGAAGCTGAGGGATCAGATGGAGGCGTTCGGAGAACTGAGGCGGCGAGCGGCGGCAGAGCATCGGGAGGCGGTGGGAAGAAGGTACTACGCGGTGACGGGGGAGGAAGCAGGGGGGAGAGGGGCGGTGGAGGCAGCGGTGGCGGAGATGAAGGAAAGGAGAGGGGCCGCGGAGGAGTTGGAGAGGAGCTTGGTGGAGTTGCATCAGGTGTTTTTAGATATGGCGGTGATGGTGGAAGCGCAAGGGCATCAGATCGATGATATCGAGAGTCAGGTGGGGAGGGCGAGGTCTTTCGTCGATCGTGGAACGCAGCAGCTTCAAGAGGCGAAGCGGCATCAAAGGAACACGCGGAAGTGGATTTGTATTGCGATTATTCTGCTGCTTATTATTGTGCTCGTCATTGTTCTCCCGATTGTGCTGAAGAAATGAAGGCGGATTGGGTTTAGGGCATCATCGGTCGCCGTCTCGGGATGGAAGAAGGTTATTGTTTCTTTCTCTTCATTTTGATTTTAATTCCTCTTTAGTTTAAAGCTATAGTTATGGATGGCGCTTATGTAGAAAGATATTAGGTGATGAGTCCTGATGCATTAGGATTTTGTAAGGCGTTACGTGTTAAGTGACCCGAAAAAAATGAATTACAATTAAGTCATTTGACACGTAGCGCTTCACTATTAGAGTTCTAATGCATTAGGACTTCTGACCTGATATTTTTTTTATGTTGATAGAGTGGTATGATACATTTGGGAGGAGGATGATGATGGTTCATTTATTTTTAATTTGTTTTGTGTGAGATGCATTTTCTATTGTTTATTGGGATTCAAATTTATTTAAATTGGTGCTGTGATTTTTTTTTTTTTTGGGGGACATCTAAATGGTGATGTGAAGTTGTGAAGGCTTGTGTTATTATTTGGTCTGTTAGGGTTATTTTATTTTTGCAGGCCTTCAATCTTATTTTATTTAGTTTATAATGGTAAACATGATGGTCTAATTATAATTTGATATAAGGAGGATTGTGATGTTTGTGATGTTCATGCTGATTTTTACAATTTAGCTACACCATGTTTAATTTTATGGTGAGTTTGTTATTAAGTAGGAGTATTTGGTGCAAAATAGTTATTTATATTTGAGTTGATGTAAAAATGGAGTTTTTTTAGAGTTTGTTGGTTTGATGCGTTCACTTTAAAAGTTAATACTCGTTTAAATTTATTTGATGAAATTTTTGCTTAAATTATTTAGAGGATAACAACCTTTTTTTTTTTTTGAAAGAGCTAATTCTCAAGAATTCAATGTACATTAAACCATGCCCATAATATCACATGCACTACACTAACATTAAGGGCCCATTTGGGGCATGGGCATCTTATAAGTGCGGGGGCATTTTTGAAAACGTCGCGGTATCGTTTGGATCGCGCATTTTGTTTGTTAATCCGGAAACACGGTTACATTTTTATACTAAACACATGCCGCAGGTCGACTCTCGCAGCTTACCCGCGGGTTGCGTTTCAGGATAAGTAGTTTATCCTGAAACACGCAAGTTGCCCCAAACGCACCTTAAATCATATGACATAATCGTTATTTTATATATATATATATATATATATATATATATTTCAGCCAGAAATAAATATTGACAATAATTAAAATTAAATAACACTGCAAGTAATTAAATATCAACTTTATAAATACCAAAATAGCTTACAGACTGCAAGAGGGAAGAGTTTCAGGATGCATACCTTACAACTTTATTATAATAAAAGCTAAACTTATTTTTTGCACACACAAAAACAAAATACTACCATGCTACATATAGAGCGCAATCGAACCAACGGCTTCCAAAATTCTTATGCAAAATGTAATAATAGACAAAGTTATAAGCTTAAATTTACTGACGCTTGATAGAATAGATGGTGGGGAGCACTTTTGATTTGGCCTTGTTCTTTAATTCTACTTAGAATTTTCAAATATTTCATTTGGTTAGCTTTTGGATCATGGTAGGGTCCATCCTTAAATTTGTCTGTCGAATGGAAATTCTTCTTCTAAATGATTGTTATCTGTAAATTTTCTCAATTGTTAGATACCTTGTCACTAGCCATTGATGACTTGTCATCTTTTTGCATCTGATCTTCATCCTCTTCAAATAATTTGGCAAGCTGGTGTTGTAGTCTTTGTTTAATCTTGTTGATGGATTCATTCTAAAATTTCCTCTTTAGTTGTTGATAAAGATTTTTAAATGAAATATTTTATTTAGCTTGATTTTTAGACAAGCTTGCTTTATTAGTTTGAATTAGTTTATTAATGAAAAAATCCTTTTCTTCGATTCAAATGACGGTCCTGGTTACCGCCAGACTGGTCGCCGCCAATTCTCTGTCGTATGTCGAGTATCGTTGCTGTCGAGGAGTCACTACTCTGTTGTCTATTACACTGCCCTATTCTCTGAATAACTTTTTCTCTCAAATCGTGCAAATGACCTTAAGATATTAAAAAACCCGGGGAAGGAAGGAAAAGACAAATGAGAATAGAAAACTGACAAAAGAAAATTATGGGGAGAACTTCATTGTGGCAAACATTGTAGAAAAAACTTTGGAGTGTATGACTCCTAAGGTACTCGTACAAAAAAACCACATGAAGATCCCATAACCAGAGATTTAGGTATAATATCTATTATGAGTTTCTCATTTTTCTATAAGAGCAAGCTCCTATAGTTAATTACATCCTAAGCAGTTAAGACTATCTAAGAAAATTCTCGATTACGACTAAAATTTGTTCTCGAAAAGTTTTAGGTGTTGTCTAAGGGTGATGTGTTTAAAAATTTAGTAAAACTTAAAAATTTTATTTATTTGCATGTTTATTATAGTTATGTTGTTTGTTTTGTTTTGTCATTTTGTTTTATCATTTTGTTTTGTCGTTTTATATTGTTATTTTGTTTGTCGTTTTGTTGTTTTGTTATTTTTTTGAAAGTTTTGAGATTTAGTGTTTCAAGCTTTAAAGTGTCGTCCCTGCAAAATAGATTTAGCACGCCTTAATAACATGTAAAGTAAATCTAAAACATTGTTTGCTTAGAATGATTTACGGCCAGTCTGTAGCATCCGATAGCTCAAGGAACCCATCTCTAACTCTTGTTTGGGGCAAGTGGCTAGGTTTGGTAGCGATTTAGCCCTACTCGGGAGATTTCCTTCTGGGATGCCCCTCCGAGTTGTGAGATGTGTTTGGTGCCTAAATTGATTATTAGATGGCACCACACGTCCATCCAAAACCTCCCACGGTCATAGGAAGTCATGGAGTCCACATATGCGTGATACAAGAAAGTTAGGGTTCGGGACACCCTACACGCGCCACGACTCGGGACAATAGTTTCCATTGATTTCTCTGGTGAATGACCAACCAAAATATTTCATTTTGAGGTTCTGGGACTATATTTCATTCACATAGCTTATCCCATAACTTATGGATTGAAAAAATCATTCATCGGGCACCCCTAGTGAAAATCAGGGTTTTGGGCTAAATCGACGCCACAGTGATGTCCCGGGGGTTCCACGTGCCAAAACACCTTTCTGAACCATCGAGCATGAGCCTCTAGAGGTCTAGAACTTTATTTTGGCGCCTAGATATTTTTTCGGGTGCTTAGGCGCCCAAATTGGAGGCGCCTAAACTGGCTAGAGAGGGTCATTTTCCCGAGCCTTTAGCGCGTAGGCGCTGCTTTCTCGTGCCTAGGCACCATATGGCAGATATTGTGACGTCATGGAGCAATTTTTGGCGCTTATGCACCAGTTTTGACCCAGGTCATGAAAATGATCGTTTAAGGAAATGTTTCAGTTCTCCCAAGGCCATCGTTTTTGTAGGGAACATATGATGGACTTTGGGATTGATGTAAAAGGACTATTTTGCCTTCACTTTAGAAAATTCTTGGGCTTCTATTTAAAGCCTTTTTGTGACTTTGGAAGAGAAGGGGCTGCTAAACCTAGCATCCCTCCTCATTCTATTGGGGGATTCTTGTGGAGGAGAGTTGGTGAGAGAGATTTTGGGGAGATTGTTGTGAGGGTTTTCTCTTGGTAAGCTAGGACTCCATCTTATCCTCTTTGACTTCCTCTTCTCCATTGCTTCTTCTCAAAGGGAGGTCTTCTTCTTTTTTGAGAGCTTGGAGTTTTGATCGTTTCTTAAGGGAAGAAAGCTAGAGGTTGGTATTTTCTTTACCTCTTCTCTTTGTGCACTGATCTTCTACTTCTCCGGTAAAGTCTTTGAGGAGAACAACTAGGGGAGCATCATCTTAGCTTAGGGAAGGCAACTCCGGTGAACTTTTGGAGGGCTCCAGAAAACTCGGCACATGGGCTTCTCTCTAGTGAGGACATCTTCTTCCACTCTTGGAGGACTTGCGAACATGCTTCTTCCACACTTGAGGAACGACTTGCGGGCTTCTCTCCTACCTTCTAGGAGAGCTTCTTCCTGAACCCCAATGGACGACGTGCAAACATTGTGGTGGTGAGATTCTCCCTCCCTTGTGTTTCCTTTCCATAGCTAGCCCCAGGTTTAGTTGTGGTCGGTGACACACATTAAAATTACTTATTTTATATATACATTTCATGCTTATTTTTTAATGATATTGCTCTATAGTTAAAGATATTTTGCATATTTTTATTTCAAGTACATTAAATGAAGTTTATAGGAAAATGAGTGAAAATGGAATCATGAAGCTGTGACGCCTATGCGCCACTTTTGGCACTTAAGCTCTAGAGTTCACACAAGATTGGCGACTAGGCGCCACAGTCAGGCGTCTAGGCGCTAAAAACAATTACCCATTTTATTCAATGCATTTGGATGACTTTTGAAGAGATGTCTGAAACAACCCTTGGTGATTTTCAAATCTTTACATATAGGGATGAACTCCAAATGAAAAGGGGGTGTTTGTAGTCGTTTTAGAGTAGGTTGCATCTCCATAAGGGTGGGCGGGCACCATAGTGAGATAGTGGTGACTTTGTTGACCTCACTGTTGGTTGAGGTCTAGTTTTTCCTCTTTAGTAGCCTAGGGTCTAGCCTTAGTAATTTCCTGTTGACTATTCCTAGAAAACTAGAAAAGAACCATCACCATTAGAAATTCCAAACTCTTCTTTACTCAACTTGAAGTTCTACATAGTGTTCCTAACCTCTAGCACTTAGTAGGTGAGGTCATTATGGGGGAGCCCAAAGACAGTTCCCATAGGACTGCTTGCCCTTAGGGTTAACTTTGGGTGTTGGTCTAGAGCTAAGGCACTCACTACACTCACCTCATTCACAATCACTCACAAATACAAACCCAAAATTCCTTGACTTTGATCCCTTAATCCTTTGGGAGACTCATGTAGATGGTCTCATAAACCCTCTGACCCTGAGCTAGGGTTTAGCTAAAACTAGTACATAGAGGACCCAAATGGGGTTTCCATTGGTCCATAGCTCATTTATGGTGGTTGGCACCCCAATTCTACCAAAAATACCTAACTTGGTCTTTTTGCCCCTGAACTCCCCCAAATTACCTAAGTACCTTGAAACCCTAAATTTGGCCAAAATTTCCAAATTTATCCAAAATACCAAATTTGTTCAAAATTTTCATTTCAAACCATTTGAAACACCACAAATTGCCGTCAAATTACCAAAATGCCCCTCCTTAGCCCAAAATTTCAAAAATTCCAAAAAATCCCAAAAATTTCCAAAACCTTCCAAATATTCTCAATTTCATTTTTATCAACTACCACATGACCCAATTTGACTAATTTGACAATTTTGACCAAACCCTCCAAATTGCCTTTAAAGGCCCAATTTTCCCCAAATTTACCTCGAATGTCCATCAATTTGGGCCCAATTTTCCTCAGTTTCAATTCTAAACTCAAATTCACCTTCCATATGACCAATATAAACC